CCATCAATCTACCAAAAGAGGAATCATCAAGACTCTAGCGGATCGTGCCTTCGGGCTATGTAATACGAAAGTAGGTCTCGAAAAGGAACTAGGTATCATCAAAAAAGATCTTCAACGGAATAGTTACTCCAAAGTGATGGTGGAACAGGCGACCAAACGCGGAATGCGATCCCAAGAATTGCATTTATCGGTTACCCTGTGAGTGCGGAAAATCCTATATCGGCGAAACTGAGAGGCCATTGAAAGTCCGCATTGTCGACCACAAGAGCGATGAGAAACTAGCAAATCGGGAATAGCAAAGCATGTTTGGACTCATCCTCATAACATCAAATTTTCCCAAGCTATCATTCACAAGGAGGAAACTGGTTCAAGAGGAAGTTCAAAGCTGCATATATGTTGTCCAACGACGCATTCAGCCAAGCTAGCGTAGAGATAGGCGACATATGGAAAACTGTAATCAAGCATGAAAACGGTCAACTCCTGCTAAACCGGTGAAGCGGAGAGAGGGAAGAGAGGATATGTGAAAGCGTTCGAATAACCATCAAATAGTCATCTCTCGGATGAACAGTCCAGTTATCACCCGAAGACGATTGTTGATACCAACATACAAAACGTCGTAAATCTTTTTTTTTTATTCATTTTTCTCTTTTAACTGTTTACTTTTTGGCTTATTTTTATTTATTTTTACTCTATGGTAATTTTTATCTTGATTATTTTATTGGTTTTATTGTAATTTCATTTCACGTCTTATTGCTTAATATAATTGATGTTTTCAGTTTTTCATTTTAATTTTATTTGTTCTTTCNAATTGTTATTTTCAGCTATTCTTTTTTTAATTTTTCTTTTTTATTGGTTCTTTCATGGATTTCAAATCATTTTATATAGTGAAAGTCTGAACTCTGAAATTCATCATGAAACCTTGTCAATCACTTTCAAACATTTGTGAACTGGAATTTGGTATGTTCACAATAATAAAGATAAATTTAAGTAAATAGAACAGAAAGTATGAATGTGTAGAGGTTAATGCCGGAGGTAAGAGAGAGAGAGAGGTTAATGCTAGAGGGAGCAGAGAGAGAGAGATAGAGAGGCGAAGACGAAACAGGAGAGCATAAGATAGCAGAAGGTTATTCAAATGTATTTGGTGAATTGATGAATAATAACACAATAATAAACAATTGATATAAAGAATACTATATATAGAGAGAAAATGAAGAGAAGATAGGAAAGCATAAAATGCTAACACAAGTATTGATTTTCAACATTTGTTTGAGAACGTTCACAAAGATCGATGAGGGATTTACTTAAAATTTCCAGATATTTACGCATATATTTGAAAACTTCTGAATGAATTGAGTATATTTTGAAAGGAAATGAAGAGAAGACAAAGAACGATGAGGTGCTAACGAAAGTATAGCTTTCAACATTCGTTTGAGTATGTCCACTGAAAACAAAGACCGGTGGAAAATTTCTAGGACATTTTCGGATACTTTTGCTTACACTTAACGACTTTAAAAAAGCTTACATACCGGTCAAGGAACTGAATTTAACAACAATAAGATTCAAATTTCCATGATAAACAATGGTATCAATTATTATTGCACATACAACACTAACAAGTCTGACAGCTGAACTTGTCTATTAGAAATCTGAAATATAAATTCTAATAATCCTTTCGTCTGAATGAGGTCAAGCCGACAAATCTAACGAAAGATAGTCTGTCTACCAAAATTTAATGTTGGTTACACTATCAAAATAATGATTCAAACTACATATTTGCATTCAGCAGTTGTTGTTTTTCAAAGAAGAATTGTAGAAAACCTTAAATCCAGACATTTATCTAAAAAAGAACATAGACAAAAAGGTGTCAAGATGTACTTTAAATGGGTGGAGTTGGATAGAAAATATAATAGTTGCATACAGAGCACAGATGAAATACATTTTTCGGAAAAGTTTACTGGAAAGAGTTGAAGCTATAAATTGAAACCAGCTTCAGCTTTCGGTATCACTAAGTCAACATGGTAATGTTGATCAAACTACTCACACAAAAAAGACTGATTTTTCTGATGAGGATCTTCCGACTCATCCAGATGAATATGATCCAAAGGTACAGTGGCAAATAGTATGTGACGATACCAAGTTTTACCGATACATGTCATTGAATTCTGTCTATGTGAAAAAGTTAATCGATTACTTGAAGTTTACAAAAATCTATTGACTTTTCAAGTAGCCGTATTGGAAAATTTTAATTTTTATGCTGATTATTGTGATATAATATATGGCGTTGAAAAATTTTTCGAAGAAAAATCTANAACATCTTTGTCCAGGATTATCTGTCTTAACAATTTGTTCTCTTCCTTTAGAAAACTTTCCTCGGTTACTTCTTTATCATTAACCTCTTCTGCTTCATGCTTACAGTCGGTCTTTTTCTGGTCTCTCGCTTGCTTCAGACATGCCGGATGAAACAATTCACTACACTTACTACACTTAACTCGATTCACCACTTTTTTCTGACAATGCTTGCATGTTAACTCTCCATTTTCAGGGGCGTAATTTAAAACAGGTGTTGATAGCTCCGCCATATTGTTGCTATACAACCACTACAAGAAAAAACTCTATCTTTTGTGAAGAATTCCACATGAAAAGCCTTTACACTAACATTTCTGTAGAAGAAGCACTTCAAATCATACATAGAAAATTATCCGAAGACGAGAACCTGGAAGATAGAACGAATTTTCATGCAGAAGTAATCATGGAATTACTAGGATGCTGTGGTGTACGGAACTGCTATTTCCAACTGAAGGACGAAATTTTTACGCAAGATGAGGGACGGCCAACGAGATCGCCACTTTCAAAAGTTATAGCCAAAAGTTATGGTTTGAAACTCTGGCCATTGAAGAAGCCCACAAGAAGTTCCGAGTCTGGTTGAGATACGTTGACAACACCTTCATAGTATGGAAACATGGGAATAAGAACTAGACACCTTTCTAAAGCACATCAACAGCGTAAAACCTCCATCACCTTCACAATGGAGAAGGAAGTCCACAACTTATTGCCATTCTTAGAGGTTTTGGTGAAGAGAACTGACACTAAGTGGGAAACATCTATATACCGAAAACCCACTCAACACGGGACAGTATCTAAACCACGAATCCAACCACCATCAATCTACCAAAAGAAGAATCATCAAGACTCTAGCTGATCGTGCCATCGGGCTATGTAATACGAAAATAGGTCTCGAAAAGGAACTAGGCATCATCAAAAAAGATCTTCAACGGAATAGTTACTCTAAAGTGATGGTGGAACAGGCCACCAAACGCGGACTGCGATTCCAAGAATTGCATTTATCGGATACCCTGTGAGTGCGGAAAATCGTATATCGGCGAAATTGAGAGGCCATTGAAAGTCCGCATTGTCGACCACAAGAGAAACTCACAGCGATGAGAAACTAGCAAATCGGAAATAGCAAAGCATGTTTGGACTCATCCTCATAACATCAAATTTTCCCAAGCTATCATTCACAAGGAGGAACACTGGTTCAAGAGGAAGTTCAAAGCTGCATATATGTTGTCCAAAGACGCATTCAGCCAAGCTAGCGTAGAGATAGGCGACATATGGAAAACTGTAATCAAGCAGGAAAACGGTCAACTCCTGCTAAACCGGTGAAGCGGAGAGAGGGAAGAGAGGATATGTGAAAGCGTTCAAATAACCATCAAATAGTCATCTCTCGGATGAACAGTCCAGTTATCACCCAAAGACGATTGTTGATACCAACATACAAAACGTCGTGAATCTTTTTTTTTATTCATTTACTTTTATGGTAATTTTTATCTTGATTATTTTATTGGTTTTATTGTAATTTCATTTCACGTCTTATTGCTTAATATAATTGATGTTTTCAGTTTTTCATTTTAATTTTATTTGTTCTTTCATAGATTCAAATCATATTAGGCAATGGAAGTCGGAACTGGTAAAATTCACCATGAAACACTGCCAACCACTTTCAAAGATGGATAGATAATTTTATTAATCTCCATAAATCATTTACTTGACATGAGATAAGTCCAATGGTAGTCATAAAAATAAGATAAAATATAATAGTTTGAATAGTCAGGTATTTACACATAAAACATTAAATAATTGATGGAGCATACACATACAAATATAAATCGAAACATGGATGCCAACTATTTACAAAACTTGTTGAAAATATAAAATAAAATGTACATATAAAACAAATTTCAACTGACAGGTGTTGTAAATTATCCCTTGACTGTGACTTGGCCAAGATCGCCCTCAACCCTATTTGAATTCTCGATCCTTCTAGGTGTCGTCCCGCTTCTGGAATATTTCTATCGGCTTATGAAGACTTCCGTCGTGATATACAAGCACTACCAACAGGCAGAGGAGGCTAATCTAGTTGAAAAAGCGACACGAAGTGAGCTAATAAGGCAATATACAGTTGAGTTCAGTTAGAGATTTTGTGTTGTATTGACAGTGTAGCAGTGAAATAAAGTTGAGTTTAATTGTACAGCGTCTTCAATTATCGTCGAAACCACGGGGAAAACGTTACATTTGGTGTCGGAAGTGAAATAATTGATTGAAAATTTTCTGTTTCATGGTGAAAACAAGGAGTATCGATTACGACGGGATGGAAGAACTCGAAAAAATGTTCGAAACTTTGCAAGCGGGCCTGGCGGGGAATGAAGAATGAAGGAGGGAGGAAGAACGATTACGCCGAAATGAAGACCGTGAATAACTATTGATGTTAAGAATTTTCAAGAATAATTCACTTAATTTTCAATTAAATGACTTAATTTTTGACTTGAAAGGTAAAATTAACCCATTAAAAAAGCTTTTCACACACAAGAACAAAAATACTGTCTCTCAACACGCGTTTCACTAACCAAGTTAGCATAAACACAAAATGAATTCAAATATATTTCTGGTGTGGGAAAAGTGTTTTCAACAGATTGATAAAACTTTAATGTTTGTAAACCCACCTTAATCCAGATAATAATACGTTGCTAGTACTTGGCTCATTCAGAGGACTATAAATTATATTTTTGTAAGCTTCCACAAGAGCCAGTGCCATATCTATTTTTCTTGTCTGGTTCTTCATTTGAGACATGTATGAAGAATATGAAGATAACTGAGGAAAAATGACTGAAAAGAATTATCTTTGAATTAAAATCATCATAAATCTAATTAATTCTTACCATCGTATCGGAAAGGTAGAGAACAGTTTATTGCAATGGTTCCTAAAGTGACTATGAGCTGCCTTAACAAAGCGTGATTTTCTTTTAAATTAGGATCCGAAATGAAGCTTTGTAACTGCATGTAAACTTTGTCATGGATATCTGCAATTGAACAGTCAGAAATGAGAGTTCCTAAAGCTGGAATTGCTGACGTTCGAACCAACCTTAAAAAAAAGGATTATCTCTCATGGATTCAAATAAGATATTATCAATGCAGCTTTTTGTAGAGTATGTTATTCTCGTGTATTCATTTATTGTTTGCTCCAGGCCAAAAGACTGAAACAGTGATAGCATATCTTCACCTGTTTTATTTATATCCTTCATTTCTATGTTAAAGTCTCCTGCTATGATAATAAATTTATTCTCTTGGATTATGGTACTCAAAAATTTTTCTGCTCTGCTCATAAACACATCCACAGAAGCGGTAGGGGCTCTATAAATCGACACTATAATCAAAATACTTTTATCAAGTGACATTTCGATAGTCGCACACTCAAACTCGTCACCAGTCACCAGTATTCCGCCTGTTGTCACAATTAACTGACCTATGAATTCCTTCAATGATTTCTATTCGGGAACTGGAGCATAACGAGGTGCTTGCAAATCAAACCTGAGGGTTGCAAATCGAACACGAGGGTTCGATTAGCAATCACCTCGTTAATCTTCAGATAGCGTCATTACTAGTGCGACTCTTAAACTCAGGAGAATCCGTTACAATAAGAATGGTCAGGAAATAGTAGTGTGATGCAATGAAATAATTTTCAGTTTATAACGAGTATTTGAACAAATATTTTTAAATTTATATCAACTTCTAGTCTATTCAATCAAAAATGATTTTGTAGCATACTGATCAATACTACAATTTTAATTCAATATGAAACGGGTCAAACTTGAGTGCAGCCAAAGTTTTTACTTTAAGTCACAGGTGAAACTTGTACCTTGGACTCTCAACGTAGAAACTTGCATTGAGAACTACTCGAGCACTTCGATTGTTACCTTAACGCCTTTGATAATGTCCACCGCGGTAGTAGACGAAACGGCAGGCATAAAAACCTGCAGACCACGGCCAACAAACCCGAAAAATAGCTTTGACACACTTACTGGATTTGTTAAACTCTTCAGATAATTATATGAAGATATACGTCCTAGTTGGGCTAATGGAAAAAACGTTTCCAAAGGCTTTCAGTACCTCAAACATTCAGAAGGGATTTGAAATATGCGATTTTTATTCTCTAGGAGCATGAATTCTTATAGTTTATGTAATAGACCATCTTCCAGGTGACATGAAAATGATGAAAATATTGAAAAAGAATAAAATACATTCGTGGTAATATCTTATTGCTCTAATAACATTTCCCAAAAAGTATCTTCAGTGAAATATTACGTTCTTAGCTAAAACATTATCAAAAGAAGGTAGATGGTCGGGGATACAAATATTTGTACCAACATCAACTGCGAGGTCCGTGGAGTCCCCAGGGCTCAGTCTTGGGACCACTTCTGTTCATATTGTATACACACGATATAGGTCATGGTCTCGTATCTGAATGGAACTGCTACGCGGATGATACAAAGCTGTTTGCCAGCCCATATGTAGCACAACATCAACTGCAAGTCGACTTCACAACAATTGCTGCCTGGTCCAGGAGATGGATGATTCCTCTGAATGAAAACAAATGATGAGTCCTGCATTTGGAACCTGCTACTCCCTCACCAAAGGCTTCAAAACGCTTAATGACGACATTATCAAAATTTCGATTGTTAGTATCCACAATCGTCTTTGGGTGAAGTAACTTGGCTTGGAATCTCTTAATTTTTAATTTTTTTTTCTTGTTTAATTGTTTTATTTTTACTTGTATTTTATGTCACTGTAATTTCATATCAGGGTTTTTCTGCTTAATATAATTGTTATTTTCAGCTATTCTTTTTTGGAGGATTTTTCTTTTTTATTGGTTCTTTCATGGATTTCAAATCATTTTATATAATGGAAGTCCGAACTCTGAAATTCATCATGAAACCTTGTCAATCACTTTCAAACATTTGTGAACTGGAATTAGGTATTGATTTTCAACATTTGTTTGAGAACGTTCACAAAGATCGATGAGGGATTTACTTAAAATTTCCAGATATTTACGCATATATTTGAAAACTTCTGAATGANTAAAGAAAAAAGTAATATTTTTTATAAATTATACTTATGAAAAATACACCAAAAAATCATCAAAGTCGAAAGAAGGGTGACGCTTGTCTTGTGGGATTGATTCATACTCATGCTTATTAACAATTGAAATTTACTTTTGTCAACATTACTGCTTGTAGCGTATGTGACAGCTACATGAAATTCTTTTCTTTATAACTACAAGAAGACTGATTCCCTTTGACTGTGGAACGACTGATGATATATTACCTCGTATGTGGAAGCTGCATGACAGCTACGTCAATTTATTTTAGTGACAAGGAATAAAGAATTGTTAATGTGGTTGTTAATGTTGCCCTCATGGCTTAAGTCACCAGAGAAAAATAAAAAAATAGGTAGAAATAGTGTTGTTATGTTTTGTTTGGTTTTGGAATGTGTAAGTTTTGGTGGCTAAGAGATTATATTATCATATTTTGCAGTGGAGTGATCGACTTTCCATCTTGATAAAGCGAGCCGTGGCCCCAATTTGAGAGGTCATTCTACCTCCCAAAGTATCCTAAAACCTACTTTATGAACATATTAAAATAAGTTCAAAATATATCTTTTGAAAACATCACTTGAGAAGACTAAAACTAGTCACTTTAAATGCTTCTGAATATACAAAATATCATTCCTATTGGAAAAACGCTTTTTCTCTTTTTACTTCTCATAAAGTAAACCCGAGACCTACGGCGGCAGGATTTCATCAAATTATTATACACTCAAGTCATTTGCTTCACAAGATTTTGAAAAGTATGTGTTTGAGATATTTTTCATAATCAATCTGTATATTGAGATTTGACAAGTTGTTATTGGAGAAGTTAGAAGTTGTCAGTTGACCTTGTACAATTTTTGATCATTCTGATCATAATCCGTAACTGTTTTGCAGCAATAAAAGTTTCTAGACGATTTTCGAAACCGTGTTTCAGTTAAAGTCGAAATATTTGAGATTCGTGGGCGAACGGGTAGCTTGTTCTAATGNATTTATTGGCAGCCAAATCCACAGTCAAACCGTTGAAAGAAATTTCTATTCCACGTTTGGAGCTATTGGCTGCAAATATTGGTGCAAAATTATATGACAGGGTGTGGAAAAATTTCCATGAATATATCAAAAGTTATGATTGGAGTGGCTCATCCACTGTTATTTCATGGATTCAACGAAGTGAACCTTGGTCAACATTTGTTGGAAATCGAGTGCAAGAGATTCGTCGATTGACTGATATTGAATCTTGGCACCATGTCCCAGGTGCATTGAATCCAGCAGATGTTTCTTCACGAGGTTGTTCTTCTCGTCATTTCTATGAGTCAAAATGGTGGGAGGAACCCACATGGTTGTATGGACTTTCAACATCTTGGCCACATGAACAAATCGTAAACGAGGAGGAAGAAATAATTAGAGAAAGAAAGAAATCCCCGATTACCACTATGCTCAACCATAATTCGGATGAATGGCACTTCGGATATTTTTCAGAATATCACAAAACAGTCCGATTAATGGCGTGGATTCCTCGTTTTGTTCACAACGTCAAAAATCCATCCCTTAACAAGAAAGATTGTTTGAGCGTTGCAGAATTAGATAAAGCTGAAATATTCATTATACGTTATATTCAGAATGAAAGTTTTAGTGGCCTGAATTATAACAAGCTCAACTCTCTATGTCCATTCAAAAACGATCAAGGTAGGTAGCAGAATTTCGCGAAGAGAAGACACAACAGATTTTTGATTTCCCATTGTACTTCCTGCGAAACACTTTTTAGTTGAGAGACTCATTTTTGATACACACGTGCGGTTGTGCCATATCGATACCGAAGGTTTATTGAGTAACCTACGCGAAAGATACTGGATACTTGGTGGTATGCCAAAAACTTTCAAAATCCAACTCCTCCGCTTCCATTAGACAGAGTGCGGGATGCAAGTGCATTTGAGATCACGGGTGTTGACTTTGCTGGGCCGCTTTATCTAAAATCGGGTGAAAAGGCGTGGATTTGTCTATTCACAAGTGCAGTATACCGTGCTATCTATTTGGAACTGGCTACTCACTCACGGATTCATTCAAGTTCTAAGGTGGTTCGTGGCGCGACGTGATCGTCCAAAGACAATATACAGTGATAACGGGACCAACTTTGTAGGCGCTGAAAACGCATCCAATCGCATAGATTGGAAGGTTATTGCAGATTATACTACCATGGAGCGAATTTATTGGAAATTCAATCCCACTACAACAGCTTGGTGGGGTGGCTTTTGTGAGCGGCTTATAGGAATGTCGAAACAGCTACTCAAGCGTGTACTTTGTCGTTTTTTCTTGAGTTATGAAGGCTTGATGACTATAATTTGTGATTATGAGGCAACAGTCAATTCAAAGCCCCTCACTTACCTAGCTGATAGTCCGCATGAGTTAACTCCCTTGACACCTGCAATGTTTCTTCGTGACCTATCACAGCATGAAGTACCTGAGTGCGATGCTGTAGAAACAAGTTCTCTCAATAAGAAGATGGCACACAAACAAAAATTACGAGAGAATTTGAGAAACCGTTTTCGAAACAAATATTTAGGACAATTGAAGCTGATGAAGAACCAAAAACGATTGAGACAAGTCGAACTTGGTGAAGTAGTCCTACTTGGAAACGAAAATGATAAACGCCTTGATTGGCCTTTGGGGCGTATCACCCAACTCATTTCAGGCAGAGATGGCGAGATTCGTTTGGTGCAGGTCAAAACATCAAAAGGAACCCTGCTGAAGCCTATTCAACGAATTGATCCATTGGAATTTATCGATGACATCGCAGGCACCAATAATCTACGAGATGCAGCATCGTCCAATGAGGAGTATGCAGAGAATCAAGTAGACTTGCAGGTTCCTGATATTTTATCTTTGAGAGATGAAGACATCAGTGCGGGAGTGTCGGATGTCAATTATGACATCAAAAGCAGAGCAACCGTAAGTGGAAGTGCGGGTTCGCGTGTCACCAAACAGTGTGAAAATTTCAAGAAGTGGCCGGGTTTGTAAGCCACCGATACGTTTTAGTATATAGTATGTTTGAATATTTTCCATGTGTATCTGAGAAATATCTCTTATTTATGTGACTCACTTTTTTGATATCGTTCCTCAGGTGGGAGGATGTTTTAGACATTTTTCATGATCAATCTGTATATTGAGATTTGACAAGTTGTCATTGGAGAAGTTAGAAGTTGTCAGTTGACCTTGTACAATTTTTGATCATTCTGATCGTAATCCGTAACTGTTTTGCAGCAATTAAAGTTTCTAGACGATTTTCGAAACCGTGTTTCAGTTAAAGTCGAAATATTTGAGATTCGTGGGTGAGCGGGTAGCTTGTTCTAATGAATCAGTGACAGTATGGATTCACACACATTTTAAAAGATTAAATTAGGTTCACTCGGGATATAACTTGGGCTTGATAATACTTTTCAAGTTATTGTCAGTAAAACTTCCGGCACATTAACAAATCTTTTCAGTTTAACACAACAGAACACTCAAACTATCAAACTGTAACTCTTTGTTATTGTGCAACAATATTTTAACTGAAAATATGCTACTGGAGTAGCTCCATTAAATTATTAACAACTATTGTCGCAACTCACACGTCATTATCCGTCGCCAGAGTAACTAAAGCAGCTGTAACCTTGGTCCTTAATAACTCCCGACTGCAAAGGCCAATTATTCCAGAAATCAAAGTTGCTGAAGCAGCCCGAACTAATGGTCTCTGATGCGTTATGCCTGCCCATAAACAATCAACGACAACTTCTTGAAGCCCAGCTACACAGAGTCGCTTCACTGTTATCTCCAAACAATCCAAAGGAGATCCGCAAAGAGGTAGAGCACAAATGAGATTCTTCAAAACATTTGACAATTCGTCATATTCGCCAGAGTAACTCAGGACGGTCAGGTATACTGGGATTATGTTCAGGCTAGGGTTGAACTGATTAAAACTGCTCATAACTTGCTCGAGACTTTGGATCTTGTTGTGGAGTATAGGACGGATTTTAAACTTTGAAAAACTGCTACCAAATACTATACAGAAGTGGGAAAAAAAGTTTATAAAACTTTGAAGCAGTTGCTGTTGACTAGTTTCAATGTAGTGGAGATTGTTGAAAATATCTGGAAGCCTGAAATGGAATCCAACAAATTATAAAAAGAAACATAAATATACTTAAAACAATCACTAGTGAGGCGGGCGAGAAGTAGAAATTTTGAAAATGTGCGGGAAATTTTTCTTATTCCAAGAGTCTCCGCGTGTTGTGATAATCCGCCCACCGCTGATCAATTGAAATCTTTCTTGGAGAACATAGTGCAGTTGATTGCTTCCTGTAGAGAGCTTCAACAGCCTGATCAAAATGAATTGCATGAACCAATAATTAACAAATAAATTCGAAGAGCTCTTTTTGGTTCAGCAGATTTTGGCTTGGTTTGTTAAGGAGTAGGCCATTCTCATTCCTAAAATCGGAGATTTGTCAATTCCTAATAATTACAGACCAATTTTTTTTTTCGGGTTATAAGTTGTTTATGAGCATCTCATATTCATCGAATTCACTCTGCAGTTAAAAACGAGTTTTCGAACGGATATACGAGCTGAAAGAGCCAAATAGAAGAGTCGCTTGATATAAAAAAATTTATTTAGATATGTAACGCAGGACTCAATGCAATATAAGCGTAACCTTTCTATGCGGTGGACGGTATGCCCTGAACAAGTGATTCCACTCTGGAGGACTCACTTCGCCATAACATCTGGTCAGGATAAAAGGCCAAACAAAACGGGTCATTTTCAGACGGAGTGTATCTCCGGCTTACTCTATTCAACATCTCACTTTTACCATTATTTGTTGAGCTCAGAAAAACTTATATATTATTTATGGAACCCTCGGAAAGCAGAGGTCACCCATTATAGGAATGCAGGATGCACCATCCATATGGTGCATCCATATGGTGCACCATCCATATGGTGCATCCTGCACCATATGGATGGTGCCTCAGAAGAACTGCTACAAATATGCTTGCCGTTAGGATCTTACTCCACTCCTTCGGAGTAGTGAAGCAGACTCTAGGAGAACTGTATCAACTTGAAAAATGATAAGCCTGCATAGAAATTTGCATCCGTTCCACGGGTATATTTCCCTCGACAACAGGGACGCCGCGCCGTAGACTTCTGATGTCTATAAGATAAAATGGTATTGGATGAGGACTGTAAAATCATCAGGAGTTAGGATCCCCTTCTCTGCGCGCCACCATGAAAGACCATTTATTTGTTGAGAGTTGGAGCATTTATTTTCAAGGCAGCTGCGCGAGCGGCTGATGAACTCAGTTCACGATTCTGAAAAAAGTGACCACGACTTTGTCACCAAGTAGATCAGCAAAAAATTCACATTAAAGCAGCAGAGATCATTTTGCTCCAGCGGCTAAACAAATATGAACCGATGCCTACGTGAATGAAGAGGTGACTTCTACTTTGTCATCGAGTTGGAATCAGTTTCGAAAGACTCACATAAAAGCAACAGAGATCGCTTTATTCACTTTACTAGGGATCTTGGCTAGACGGGGATCTGCATATTCCAGTTTAGTTTGTCGAGGGGTGGGAGATTCTAATCATTAAAAAAGGAGATTTCACTATTTTAAGGAATTACACACTGATAATAACATACTTGAATGCATGTTATGAGTTGTTTTTTGAAATATTATATACACAAATACTTCAAATAATTTCAGCAGTCTTACATCACATGAACTCATCGTGTATTTGCTCATTTGCCTTGGCAGCATTTGCCAGAGCAGCATCAGTTGTAAACAACTAGTGAGTCACTATCACAAGAGGTGTATTTCAAGAAGATTTCCTCAGATTCCTTCTTTTCTGTATTTTACCCACGCCATTATCCGTTACTCTCAAAATTTTCATGGATGCAGCTTATCCACCCCCGGTCATCGGAGGCATAAGCTCACTAACTTATTTCATATCATAAACTTTATGCCTTTGGAGAAAAGATCTACTCGGAATGGATGCTACGCTAAGTGCTCTAAGAGATCTTCGGTAATCCAAATGGCTCCGTCGGTGATACCTGTTAAGGCCCAGTTACCCATTCATCATTTAGTACAGGCTCCTTTTTTAGTTGCCTCTTATTGGAGAACAGAGCATGATAAAGAAAATAAGGTGAATAAATGAGCGAGTTGAGGATGAAAGATGTTGCTGTTGGTTAGATACCTGACTTAACCAATTGGATAACGGATAAGAGGAAGAGATTGAGAAAATGTACAGAAAGATAGGAAATGAAAGTTCAGCTCTGTGTGAGAAAGCTGTGCAGCTGGTAACCGGCCATGGGAACTTTCTAGACTACCTGCCTCGGCGCAGTCGGGACAACAGGATAATCATGAACGGGTGCATGTTAGACAAAAAGAGAATTTAGATGGAGAAGTTGGGGGGACGAGGTAAACTTCAGTTTAGGAATTAACAAATAGTGAATTATGAGTGGGTTGAATATATAAATGAAATGTTCCAGTAATTGTTTCCCTAGAAAAGAGGAATGTTTTTTGAATGACAATTGAATTTTGTAAACGAGAGGGATTTATATACGGAAATTAATATAAGTGGGTTTATAGAACAATTGCAGTTTGGTCAGGATACTTCTCACTCGCCTTACTAATGGAAACTCCCTTATTTTCCACTACAATTGCAATAAGTATCTGAAATATTCTGGATAAATGTAGGACTCGAAGATGCACTCAAGATTAAATGATGTTATAACACTGCATGTAAAAGTCTATATTTTCCAAAAATAATCAATGAATGTTTATTCAGTTTATGGACTTCATTTCGTGTAGAGTGAGCAACATTAAAACCATCAGCAATACTCTTGGATTGCAGATTGATGATTAGCCGAGATCTTTCTATGTCTGCCTCAAAACTTTTCTTGAATAATCGACCATATAACAGCATAAACTATTTAACTGAAATACTTATGCATTATCTGCTACGAAAAATTCATGTTTACCTTACTTCTTATTGAAACACCCTGGTTATTATGGAGTTTATCTATTCTGATAATCTTAGGATCCATTTGAATGGAAGACAAGGGATTTTCCATAATAAGTGGACGGGATAAATATGTTTCATATTTTGTACCTATTTTTCGTGCATGCATTATTTTTTAAGCTATTAATGACTCCAATTCTTCTATGGTGCACTGTAAATCCTTTATCCTGATCATTACAAAATCCTATTCCAGTTGTAATTTAAAATAATGTAAGTATGCCGAATTTCCTACTATTTATTGTTCATAATATCTAGAAATTCAACGGAATAATAATATAGATATCTATTAGAACTTACATTACATCAATAATCCAATCTAACTCTGGCCAAGATATATTTGGGTTGTCATTAATATATTTATCGAATTCATATAAAATGACTCCACTACTTATTTCACTCCTTGAGAAAAATTCTGGGTTTGTCAGACACGAGCATACATTTTTGAAGTCATATCCTGAAAAAAAAAACAAAATCAGCCAAAATAATATAACTCAACTATTCCACGCTACCATACTTACTCAATTCCATGGCCATATCCTTCTCAATATTACATATAATGCTTTCATAGCAGGCAACAGACATCATTAGGAAAGTTAGTAGGTTATCTATCACATTTATCATTCTTAAAATTTTGTCAGAAGACAGGTTCACCTTACTAGTGGATTCTGTGTTCTTTACGTGATAACTCAATGTATTCAACAATTTTTTCATCAAACTATTGATGAGCAAACCTAAAAAATACAACTGAAATGAAAAACAAAGTAAAATCGATATTCGTCATGGAGTTTCAAAGAGATGTTATATATATTCATTCAGCGAACTTCTTAGACTCTACACAGATCACCATGTTAAAATGGAGTTTTGGAGGAATGTTTTTTTTATTTTCTCTACTCTTGAGATCATAACGGCTTACGGCTCTGTTATACTACAAATGTTTATAGTGAATAAATATTTGGGTAAGAAAGGTTTTGGCTTTCTACTTCTCCATCTTTATACAAAAAAATAAAAGTGGGAATCTTCCAAAGGAAGGAAGGAAGCAATAAATTTCAAAGAAGGTAACTCTGTACAAAGATGTGTAGATTGTGCAAAGAAGTATCTTTCAGACACAAACTGGACGAAAAGCTCAATACAGCTACTTTCATATAAACACTTAATTATACAAAAACACTCTTCTCTATTCAGTTTGTATTCCAAACAATCGTTGTGGAATTGAATCAGATACCATTCACAGGATTGCTACACAATATAGTAAGTGAAAGAGGTAAAATTTCATTTACATGGAACACTGTCATCCTCACTGGAAGACATCCGATCATCAATGGCAGTATATAAACTATGCTGGTTCTGGCCCAAAATCCCTGCTTTTTCTTATGGCGCTTCATTTTTGTCATTTTCGAAACTTCGAGCGGAACCTTGTGGAACACCAAACAAAAGGTAGGTGTGACGTGTATGTATAAGAGTTTCACGATGTAATATGTGTGTGTATCTGAGGGAGATGGGGATGACGTCAGTGTGGAGTAGAGAAAAATCAAAGATGGTGATATAACAAAAGGGCACTAAGTCGTATCTTCGTTAATAATAGTGGCATCGTCACGTGTAGCACATCAAATGGAAGGAAAAAGAAATGTTAAATTTACTGAGACAAAAAAAACAAAGATGATGCCAGAAGAGCACTAAGTTGTATCTTCGCTAATAATAGTCACATCATCACGTGCAGCATATCGAATGAAAGGAAAAAGGAATGTTGAATTTAGTGACCAAGAAAAAAAAATTATGCCAAGAGGGCACGAAATTGTATCTTCGTTAATAATAGTTCGGATCGTCACGTGTAGCACGTCAAATGAAGGTGAAAGAAATGTAGAATTTATCGAAAAATAAAAAACAAAGATGTTGTCAGAAGGACACTAAATTGTACTTTCGTTAATAATAGTCGAATCGTTATGTACAGCAAGTCTAATGAAGGGGAAAGGCATGCAGAATGTATCGACAAATAAAACAAAGATGGCGCAATATGTCAAAAGGGCACTAAGTCGCATCTTCGTTAATAATACTCGGATCGTCAAGTGCAGCAAGTCAAATGGAAGGGAAAGGAATGCAGAATCAACGACAAAGAAAAAAAAAGATGGCACAACATATCAGGAAGGCACTAAACCGCATCTTCGTTAAGCACTAAGCCGCATCTTCGTTAAGCACTAAGCCGCATCTTCGTTAATAGTACTAGGATCCCAAGGTGCAGCACATCAAATGTAACGGAAACGAATGCAGAATTCAGCGAATGTAAATGGGGGAGGGATGCCAGTGTGGTCCTCGAATAGGTACACGAATTGGTTCAGGATTTGGTCCTCGATTTGGCTCTCGAATTAATCCTCGATTTGGCTCTCGAATTAGTCCTCGATTTGGCTCTCGAAATAGTCCTCAAATTGGTCATCGATTTAACTCGAGAAAAAATAATGGACGCCAATTTGTCTTTTACAGTCTCTCGATGCGCGTTTTGCTAACCAAGTGAGCATACTCAGATATTTTATTTTGCGAATTTTTGGACCTCCGAACGGAACCTTGTTGAACACTCACCAAATTTATGATACAGAGTGACGTTGGTCAGCCAATCAGAATGGAGGGAACAAATATCGGTTGGGTGGTTGAGTTAGATCAAATTGAACCCGGGGATGAGGGTTGAATAATAATAATAAAACTAAAAAAATTGTGGATGACCACGTCGGTGTGGGGGTGATGTGTGATTTGTGAAAATGAATAAGTTGTAACAAAGGAAAAACAAAGATGACGCAACATACCAAAAGGGTACTAAGCCGTATCTTCGTTAATATTAGTCGCATCGTCATCAATAATGAAGATGGCTCAACATGTCAAAAAGACACTAAGCCGCATACTCGTAAATAATAGTCGTATCGTCACGTACAGCTCGTCAAATGAAAGGGAAAGGATTGTAGAATTTATCATCAGAGAAAAAACACAAAGATGGCGTAACATGTCAGAAGGTCACTAAGTTGTATATTCGCTAATAATGATCACATCGTCACGTGTAGCACATCGAATGGAAGGGAAAGGAATACAGAATTCATTGACAAAAAAAAACAAAGCTGGGGCAACATATCAGAAGGGCACTAAGCCGTTACTCCGTTAACAATAGTCGGATCGCTACTTACAGTACACAAAATGAAAGAAGGAGGGGTGTAGAATTCGTTAGAAGAGAAAAAACAAAGACGATACCAAACGGGCACTAAGTTTTATTTTCTTTATCAATAGCCACATCATCCAGCAAATCGAATGAAAAGAAAAATAAAATGAGTAGGGATGATGAAATCATAAAGAGAACTCAAAGATGACGGTATGACAAAAGGACATTAGCTCACATCTTGAAATTAATGAAGAATTGTCATGGCGACATGTCAAATATGTATTAGGTGCGCATATGATGAGGAAATTTCGAAATTCGTATGAGAAGCATAGATGCAGTTGTAAAAATATAAAAATTGGATTATCCAGTTCTGACATATCTTTACGTTTCATGCAAAAATAAACACATCCGGTAATGAAAAATTCATCGTATACAAAAACAAACTTTGTATTTGGATCCTTTATGGTGAGATGGTTTCGAATCCTTCAAAAATATGTCACTACCGGTCCTTCGATTTCGATGATTTTGACATCAATGGATTCTTTTCAATGTCAAATAACATATATAATAATTTTCTGAAGCCAAAAGAGGCTCATAACTTATTTCCATTATATTAGCTGCGATAGGCCGATGTGGGTTCTCATTTCAAATGATTTCATTTGTAGATTATAAAAAGTATAATATCGAGCGCCCAATGTGAAATAGCATAGAAAGAATTGCAAATTGAAATAAAATACTTGAAAAAACTTGAAATTCAAAGTTCTTGGGTTATGAACAATTATGAGGAAAATTCAGTTGCAGCAGCCTTGAAATTTTGGAAGCTATAGATTCTGAAATTTACAAGACACGTTTTCACTATCATAATATTACTGGAGTAATTGATGGGGGGGGGGAGGAAAGTACGGATGTCAGATAACAGGTGATGTACTGACGAAAATACAAACATGGTGAGCCAGAAGGGCGCCGCTAAGAAGGAAAATTTCGTCAAACGTACACAAAATGTCATAAGATTTGTTTGCGTGTGTAAGAGTGAGTGGCGAACGTCACGATATGTGTGTATGAGTAAGATGGAGGCAATGTTGAAAGTAAATAAAAAAAGGTGGCGTATTATACGATGAAGCGGTCATTTTGTCATGAAAATCGCATAAGAAATTTCGCCAAAGATACAACACCTTGAAACAGTTATTTTGGGTACTTTAACCCCATCGAATAAAACGCATTTTTAAAGCTTCATTTTTTCAAAAACCCATATAATCGCCTTAAAAATTTCACGAAAATATAACCGCATTTACAGAGTGATTTAGAAGAGTGATAGAAGGACAGTAAAACGTTAATTATACAATGTAGCATCCATTTGTGTCGTGAAAATCTCATAAAAAATTTAATAAAAACATAACGCGTTGCAACGCGTTCAAGTTCACCAAACGTGTAGGCAAGATAGTTTCGTTTTTGAAGTTCTCATAGATAAATTATATCAACACCATGTGGATTTTTCCTTGAGGATGGTATCTGATGGTTATATTAATTAATTATCATAACACGTTTGCGATTGAAGATAATCATTTCATATCATTATATTTGGAAACTGAGTTTCAAGTTAAAGACACATGTTCGAAATTTTGTTTAGTCGCAATGCGACAGACGTACCTGTTGTGAAAATCACATTGAGAATTTCACAAAAATATAAGCGCATAATCAGAGTGACTCAGTGTTTCAAAATACGTCTTTAAAAAACAGAAATCTCGCGTGATAGAACATTAAACCGTTAATGTAAGTTAATCGTAGGAAAATTGTGATATCATATAAAAGATAGGAAGCAGAATCGAAATTTTCTTAGAATCAGGGAAGAATTAANTTAGGGAAGAATTGAATCCCATGAGATATTTACAGTATAATTAAGAGAAAAATCGGAAGGAATTATACAAGGTGAGTCAACAAGATTCCATTGGTCCATTGTTATCAGAGGAAACAACTTTTCGAACTACTCATGTTTGCAGTCATATCGATAGATACTATCTTGTAAAATTATTTTCTCGCGTATTGGGTGATTCAGCCAAGCGTGGCTAACCAAAGTTATATATTTTTTTAAATAGAACACCCATTATATGAATACATCATTCGATTTCATATTTTTCCAGCTCTCTAGGGAATTTTTGTTTTCGAATTTTCATTGCGGCATTGCCAAGTTATTCGAGAAAAACCTATTTTGCAGACAATATTTTTTTAATTCACCACCCGCATGTCTACAGTAATTAATTGGATTTTTCAAGAATAGTTAGTCAACACCACTATGATAATTTTGGGAATCTTGACTTTCGGAAACAATATATAGGGTGCTTGATAAAACCGGTCAAGTTTCATTCATTTTCAAACAGACATAATTCAACTTTTTCAAATGGATCACCCTATATTTTTTCATTTGTATGAAATGTTTCTACATTTCACTACATTTTTTATCACAGGTATACTATACGACAAACTGATATTTTACAAATTATACCAAGTTTTAGTAACCACAAAAATGTATTTTCTTACGTTTTAACGGAAAGAAATGCGTTAAAAACATTAAGAATATTTATACTGCTTTTTTTCTTTAAAAACCCAGTTATCCATGATTGACATCAAAAAATGAATCTCGGAATTTGTCAATAACGCCATGTGTTGAAGTTTCTTTCGCGTGTGAAACAAAAATTTTATATTTATGTATGTTTTTAGGAATCACACGTTAAAAGGTAAGACCTCGTTAATCCTTAGCTCGCACAAGTTTCTACTTCTCAGGGATGTCGTTCGTAGGGGTGCGACAGCTGGTTAGGTTAGGTTGCAACTCAGAAGTGACTAATGCCCGGCGATAAACCTAATTACTCTGCCATATAGTATAGTAGTACAGTATGTTTGACCACTCGCATTTTTTGAAACTATTAGTCGAATTGTGACCATTCTTATTTTATGTTTTACATTATATTCTCAAATTTCACAAAAATTGGTTTAAAAGTTTTCAAAATATAAACTAATACATATAAGTGATAGCCTAGTTTACTGATATAATCTTAGAGTGTAGTCTCTGCTTGGGTTTATGAAGATTAAACAAATACAAAATTGAATTTAACTACATCATTTTTATATCCATAACAAATATTCAGTTAGAAAGTCTGTTTCTTTAATATGAGTGATGCCCTTTCTGGAAAATCATCTTAAAATCTAATGAAAATACTTTTCCCACGCCAGAGCTAAAGATACATCTTTATTTCTGGAGATTTAGTACAAAATAACAGCTTACCTTCCTCTAATGCCCATTTTCCTAACACAGGGAATAATATCTGAGTACTCGTGTTGACTACACTGTTACTTGAATCATTTAGAGTACTGAGTGCTAGTTGTTCACATTGACAGTATTTATCCTTGTCATCACATAAAGCTACTAATAAAGCTAGGGCTTTAATCACTGTTTCTCTAACAGCATCTTCTTTATCTTCTAGCATTTGTTGCAGCATTGATAGGCAGAGAGAGTTTCGAATGGGTTCCTAAAATAAGAAATAAAAAAAAATAAATGGCATAATTCAATAATTGCTCAATTGTCAACGAGACATTTGACTTATCGGTTTTGAAACTAAACGCCCCATACTAGGATAGGTTGCATGCTATTTTCCATTCTTTGTCAATAAGAAAATTCACCAACAATGTCGAATACAAAAAACTATGAATTTGGTATCCAAAAACATTAAAAATGATGTGTTATGTAAAAAATAGTTCTATATCCGATATATCATATAAGGATAAATTTATTTTGAAACTTCTCCGTTCTAGGAAGCTACAAAACACTACAACGCTACAATTAACATTATTAACATTGATGAATATAAAAACTATATTAGCATACTATAACAAATGTTAAGTGAAGAATATATAAAATTGTTTGAAACGATTGTTTTGGGTTCTGAGAAAATTAATGTTTCGAAATGAATTTCCTAGAAATATTGGTCTCTCCTAACGTTCCTACACAGTAGGATTTGGTTAATTCCTTCCAGTAAACAACCAATTACCTGTCGAAATTAAGAGATAAAAGTCGAAATTACGAGATAAAAGTCGAAATTACGAGATAAAAGTTGAAATTACGAGATAAAAGTCGAAATTAAGAGATGAAAGTCGAAATTACGAGATAAAAGTCGAAATTTCGACTTTTAAGTCGAAATTATAGTGAATCAAATAAACAAATAATCTTTGGCCCTTCTACGCTTCCGTAGTCGGGACTGATGTAGAATAAAACAATATACAATTTTATTAAAAGCCAAGGTTTTGAAAGATCTATGTGTGTGATCAATGTGTTTATTTCAAAAGTGGAGAAGAAGTTATAACCACCATTTACGTAGATGATATATTGATTTTTGGAACTAGAGACAAAATAAACAACAAAAGAAAGATCAGTTTCAACCAAAATTTTGTTACCAAAGACTTGAGAAAAGTGAAAAATATTCAATCAGTCAGAGTTACGACATATCAGGAGAAAATAAGATTAGACCATTGAACTTTTGAGAGAAACGAACGAGTTGGAAGCAAAGGTGTCTACTTCTCAACCCATAGGAGAAAAATTTAAAATTGATGACGATGAGCCCTTCAATGAGGAAGATTAAAAATTATATCAGAGAGTTATTGGAAGTCTTTTATTTTCCAAAGTTTCGACAAGACTGAATTTATCATTCCCCCGCTACATTTATGAGCCAGTTCAATCATGACTCCTTCCTCATTTGGAAGGGTATGAAACATATTCTCCGATATCTAAATGAGACCAGATATTCCAAAACTAGAAAAATTATTATGGAAGCCTGCAGTGACGCAGATTGGGAATCCAATGAATCAGATAGAAAGTCCTACAGTGGTCTGTTTTCAAAATTGGAGGAGGAGCTGTGAGTTGGTCCAGTCTTAAGCAACATTGTGTTGCACTAAGTACTGTATATCGCCTTGTGCAAAGCAACCAAAGAACTAACTTTTTTTAAGAAGTTGGCTCATGAAATATCCAAGGAACAATTTTTTGGTAACTGTTTTCTTATTTTTATCGACAATCAAGGCACAATTAAACTTGCCAAAAACAATATAATTTCCTAAAGGTCAAAACTCATTGATTTGCGTATGTTTTACATAAGAGATTTGATAGAAGAAAAAACAATAGTTCTAAAATAAATTGATGTATTCGTTTGAAAATGTTCTAAGGGACAAAACTGCAGTAACGTTGGTTACAAATACAAGTGGTAAAAACAGGAAGTTTTATTTTTCATTTGTCAGTTCTGAAATATATTCCATAACGACAAAGTTTGGCTGATCAAATAACGAAATGTGTTGCTGTAATCATTCTTCTGTAGAATTTGAGAGAATTGGGGATCATTGAACCAGGAGGAGTGTTAGAAATGATTGATTTTTAGTTAGCTGCTTTGAACTATTTCATTTAATTTTTGAGTGTGCCCTGTAGCTTTGTTCAGATGTTTGTTTCATGAAGTAGTTGTCAATTTTGATAAATGAAAGTCATTACCCAACTAATTTTTCTCTTTCTATTACAATCGTATTAAACTATTTTAAAATAGTTGAATCATTGCTACAAACAGTTCGATTCACCCACCCCTCTTTTATTACTCTAACTCTTACATCCACCAAAAACAACAAAATATAGTACTACCAACACCCAAACTAGCATAGACTCCCAGATAACCATACCAAATCCTAGTGGATTATCAGAAAACAAAAAGATAACTTATCCCAATCAAAATAAAAATAAATTGTTTAGTTTAAAAAAACAGTCAGTAATTCTCCAATTTCAAAGGAAAAGAATATGACAAAATAAATATAACTCTACAGTGGACACTTTATAATAACCTAAGAGTCATACATATCATCCAGTTATATTTTACCTAAATAAACTAACCGTAAACAGTGGAAATTGTGGAAATTCATGATGACTTTAAGGAAATTAATGAAAACACTTTTGTCTGATTTCCATTAGTTATTTTATTTTTACGACCGGTTTCGGGTTCTATCTCATTATCAAGTATAAAAACTTACTAATACATTTGATATCTAAAAACGTGGTTATATAGGGAATTTGTAGGTAAGCTGGATGGGGAGGTAACGAAAAGAACAGGGGTAACAACTATACAAGTTCAACACTGGATATTATAGAAATTACAGGGGGTTGTCAAACTTATCAATTCAAGATTGGAGACCTACATAAATCAAGTTCCTCGTTTATGGGTATATAACCGGTGTGACGGACCGTATTGGAAGAATCCCCGAAAAACATGTAAGGCCATTTTCAACCCCACAAGAACGATAGAGAACAGTCTGAGGTCTGAGGGTCTAGAGAACCCAGGGATCCATTAGGTACTCCAGAAGTATTCATGTATTTGTGGTTCGTTTTTCAAGAGAATACGAAAACAAGCATAAAACGCGCTTGCCTGAGCATAAAAGATGTTGCCCCTAGGACCATTGTCCATTGTTATGAGGAACTTATCCTCTTCAACTTCCATCACTAGAATCTTTTCATATGTACATTTAACAGTTTCACTTAGTACATTTTCTGATATGTCATACACACGTTTCCTAAGCTCCTTACTGGCATCTAATTTAGTTTGTACAGCAACTTCAGAAAGTTTGAAGTCTGTCACTGCCAGTTTTAATTATTTATTTATTCATCCAAACAGGCTAATACATAAGACATACATAATACTAAGACTAATACATAATAATAAGAATACAATGTAGGAATATAGGTTTTCACGGCTGGCGTCAATGGTTTGGTTGATTTCCTGGTTTTGACATGTTATAATCTCCAAACGTTTCGACTGCAACAGCGTCTGTCATCTTCAGTGTCGTGGTCGAATTACTCTTCTTGTCGTGTCAACATTCTTGTTGAATAATTATTCGACGTTGCTAGCTTCTCGGTATTTTCGAACATAATCTTGTATTCCCCGTCGGACAGTGCATGTTCAGCGACTGCAGACTTCTTGGTCTGGCCCAATCGGCAACTCCGCTTGTGCTCGACTAGGCGAGTACCAATGCTTCTTTTCGTCTCATTGATATAGAATTTACTACAGTTACATGGAATCCTGTAAGCTCCCGCTGATTTGAGTGGATGTCTGCTGTCTTTTGCTGATCTCAGATACTCCGATATTTTCTTCGTTGGTTTGAAGACGGTGTTAATTTTCTCCTTCTTTAGAATTTTTCCGATTCGGTAGGTGACACTTTCTATGTATGGTAGATAGACAGTGCCTTGGGGTTGATTTCCACTGGTGTTTCTTTTCTTTTCCCTTGGTCGCGTAGCGCGGATTATGTCCTTTCTGTCGTAGCCTCCGTCTCAGGGAAGTACAATCTAACGAAGTATTGAAGACTGTTTACTATGACATGGTACATTGTTATCTTGTATTTGGGGTTCTATGTGGGAAACAAGCCCGACTTGCCGTCAACTATTGGTAAGCCAAAAGAAAATTATAAGAAATATGGCCGATTTGGGCTACAGAACACATGCCATGCCAATTTTTATTGAAATGAAAATCTTGACATTACCATATATATCAAATGGAGGCAATTCTGGGGATACATTAAAATAAAGATAAACATATTTCTGGAACAGATCTTCATGAATATGATACACGAAATGAAAATCAATATAGGATGCCAAAAGTAAATAACGAAAAAACAAAAATACAAACTGAATATTTGCCAATGAAACTGTAAAACCAATTACCAGTGGAGTGGATGTATTACACAACTAAAAAATTTAAATACCAACTAAAACAATCATTGCTACTAAATCCACTTTATGATATAAATTAAATTTTTCTTCATTCATGGGTCTAAATACTTATGTTTTGCTTGTCAAGAGTGTGGACTACATATTTTGTGATAAATGTAACTGTTTTCTGTAAAAAAAAATTTGAAGGTGAATAAATATGTTATCTTATTTTATAAATGATATGGCAGAAATGAGAGTTTCAGTTTAAGTTGACACGTCAAGAAGAGTACTTCGACCACGCCACTGAAGATGACTGCCGCACTTGCAGTCGAAACGTTTGAAGATTATAACCAAAGAAGAATACGGCAAAACCTGAAAACCAATCAAAACACAACAATACAATGCATTCATAACCGTAAATGTCAATATAAAAGAACCGCAGGGAGAAATTATACAAAAATATTAATTTAATAATTTAATATTAATTGACTGAAACTTTTTTGAGGTAAAGTTCAGTCCAATGATGTTAAGACACCAATTCAATTGGCTAATCGAAGCGTGTTCTACCTCAACCTATAATACGGTATGCAAGAGAAAATCTAGATCCATATAAACAGTATGAGAAACAATCAGATATACAAGATAAAATATAATAACCCACTGGATCGGAAATGTCCCCCTCTGGAACATCAAATTAGGATAACAACAAAACTTAATGTTTATACTGGATGAAGAAGTTATTTTACAGGACTTGAATTTAGTATACGAAGAATATAAGGGAAATTACCTGAAATACGAAGAGTATGTCACTATGTTCAATAACATGCCAAATAAAGTATTGAATATCATGCATTTTGACATAAGAAGTAAAGGAAAAAACTTCAACGAATTCTTAGCCATGTATGAAACATACGCATTACACAGTTGTGACATTTTTATTTTGAGTGAATGTTTTCGACTGGAATTAACCGGAACCTACATATTCCTAGATATGATACCACAATAACGGCGCTGACTTCAATAACACTGATGGGACTATGTTTTTAATCAAATCTGATTTAAATAATAATATAAAAAATATCAAGCTTGCGATGAGTGGTGTAACCCTATCCTTTTTGGAACTTGCTTGCAATGGCTTATCTTATAGGATAATAGGCTTATATATACCCTGTGCTTGTAATTTAACTACATTCATTGCAGATATTGGCGATTTTTTCATGACGAGGAAAGCTAGTCCCAAATTGGACTTATATTATACTGCAAAACTAAATAACCCCTGTATAT